AAGTGCTGGGATTACAGGCGTGAGCCACCGCGCCCAGCCCGAGACTGGAATTTTTTAAAGCTGGGGTAGGTGTCACTCTTCCTCTCAACTTCTCCATAAACAAAATTCAGGTTTGGAAAACATTTCTATACATACACAAATTTGAAGTATTAAAAACATTAACTGTAAATAGCTCATATTTACATTTCTAGCTATGCTTTCTTTTTTCTAGTGTGCTGCTTAATGTTACATAGTTTTGCTATCCTCTTTAAGAGATTCCTAGATTTGTGTAACTTGAAAATCTTATCACAATTTAATCCCTTCTGCCCAAGTATTTGCTCACAGGTATATACATTTTCTACTTCAATTGCTTTAAAAAACTCCCCAATGATCTTCATGTTGACAAATTTAATGGAGAATATTTTGTTATTATTTTAATTTACTCCTTTTCAGTATTTGGCCCTATTGACCACTTTATTTTTTTTACTTTCTTGAGAGTCTCTCTCTTCTTTCCTGTCACTCATACTATTTCATCAGATACTTCTCTTATAATATATTCTGAACACCTTTACTTAGCTTTTTTGTAGACTCCTCTTTCTCTTGCCTTTTAAATACTGAGGATTGCCAATGTTGCATTTGTTCAACCTATTCAATGGGTTCTCCCTCTGGGCGATCTCATTCATACGCATGGTTTCAACTACTGTCCTCTAGTCAGTGACTCCCAAATCCATATCTATAGGTCAAAGGTTTATTCGAAGCCTGGAAGCCACATATCCAAACTCATTTTCATGTGATGCTTCATAGGTATCTCAAAAACTAAAAATGTCTCAGTCTGAACCCACAGTTTTTCACCACGTCTAAACTGCCCAGCCAGTTCTTTCCCGCCTTTTATTATGTGGTTTTCACATTTTATTTGCTCAACTTGGGATACCACGTTACTCACTCCTGCACATCTTTAAATGTTAAGTGAAAGCATTGGTATCTGTGAAATAGTCCCTAGTTGTGCAAACTCGATTAGATGACACTCCTGAAAATGTGTGTTTGTCAGTTATGCTTATGTTACCTTGTCCCCTTTTTTGTAATGGTGGCATACTTTTTAATCTTTTTAATTCTACTATGAATTCCTAGGAGACAGAAACTAAGTCATTTATCTCTGCATTTTTAAAGACTAGCAGAGTTTGGGGTATCTGGTACCCAATCATTTTTTAAAAGATTAATCCCCTCGTGGGAACATATCTGTAGATAAAACTGAGCAATTTTGTTTCTGTGAACTGTAAAGCAAGGGGCATAAAGCTAGAAAGACAAATTTAACTTCATGTTATTATGTACTTTCTGTTATGGGGGAAAAGAAATACATTTCTAAAGAAAGCTTCTGAATTTATAAAATAAGAAAACATCAACTCTTCCCATTCAATACAATTTATGTGTTAAAATCAAAGTTCAAAATGGTATATCCCGAAGAAATTCTGAGCCCTCATCATACATTATGGATGAATTATTCTATAAGGAAACCCATAATACATGTCTTATAAAATGATTGGGGCTGTGTGTGTTTGTGTGTGTTTTAATAGTAGCATATATGAGTATATAAGAGAGCATTTCTAATAAAAAGTAGAATGACATAGCAAAAATAAAGCATGAAACATGAACTCATCAGAAATTGGTTTAAAACACATACTCCTACATGAGTATCAATGGACAGATGCTTTCCTTTCCTGAGCCTGAATTTTTCTCATGCAAATGCTTTTCTCATAGCACCTGGGGGAGAATTTAATGAAATAATAAACACAAAGTGGATAGCATATACTCGATGCTAAAAATGAAGTTCATTTTTCTGTCCTTCCCTAGTGTTAATGAGATGAAAACTCTATAAAGGGACAGACATATTGGAGGAATATTAGTACTGTTATCTGTAGAACTGTTCAGTATGTTTTTACCTATGATTTCTGTGTAATAAGTAATATGAGACAATTTTGTACAACAATTCATGTTGAGCTTAAAGAAAATTCAGGTGTCATTTCCCTTGGGATCTTTTTCAGTGTGGAATGCTATGAGTATATTAGTAAAATTCCTACCTGCTAAACCAGGAATATGTCACTTTACTGAAAAATGAGGCACTTTTCTCTGGACTGCATTTCTGAAAAGAAAAAATACAGAGAATAGTGTATAAAGTAAATATTTTTAATTTACATTTGAAATATGTTTTGTCAGAAAAGTAAGCCTGAAATTATTTTACTAATAGTTGCAGATATGTTGTTGTAATTCTTAAGAAGTATAGTTAAGTGAAGATATTCTTGTATGGTGGTTGGACTAGAGGAATTTCAAGATTTCTCTCAACATTGCGTTGGTGCGTGTAGCAATAAGTCATGTTGGAAAGGAAAATTGTAGGTACAGGTATATATACATACATAGAGAGATTTTAGAACTGTAAATTTGCAATTATATGGATTTGTATACAATATATACTTATACAATATATGTACATATACATATATGTGTACATATATATTTGTACACATACAGAGGGACAGTTCGTTGAACTTAATAGCCCATAATGGCTATTTACAATTAATGCAATTATATGACAGTATAATATAAATGAATAATTTATACACATATGTATTATATATGTATATGTATATATAAGATAAATGTAAAGCATTTAAATTGCTAAAGATAGTTTTCTTTTTCTGAAAAATAGAAAAATAAGAGAATATAATAGTTCTCTGGTGTACTTCTGTATGTGTTTACATATTTTTAAAATTATATGCACAATTACATATTTGTCACAATTACATGTTATTTTGGGGTGGCTTATAACATTTCCATAAAGTTTTCCCATTTCCTATATTGGTTTAACTAAGAGAAAAGAAGTTTAAAAAGAGATGTCTCAAAAACAACCATTTTATGTTTTTATAGTCAGCATCAATCTCTTTGCATTTTAAAAAGTAAGACTAGTCACCAAGTTAATTTTGATTTTTAGAAACTGTCTAACATTTAAGAAATTTTCCAGTGATCTTCTCTAACTCAGTTCTGATTCCATAATCAGTATTTACCAATTTAAAAAATTTTGAAGCTAGAAGGAATGAGTAAATCCAAATTTTGTCATATACAACAAAATGCCCAAAGTAGAGATGAGAAAATATATTTGACGCCAGATCCGTTCTCTGTGTTATAACAAATTATATAATATCAATCATGTAAGATATATACAATTTACCAAAATGGCATTTATCATTATAAGATTTTTGCAAGAACTAAATATAGTGATAAATATAAAATACTTATCACACCATTAGCCCAAAACAATGACTCAAATATATGAACAATAAAATTGTCATCACTATTGTTACCAACATACTTCTAAAAAATAAGTACACAAATTATTGGAAAAAATGTTCTAAAAATTATCTAATTAACCTGGAGGATGTATTTTATGTCATAAGTTCAAATTTCACAGGGAGTTGCTAATGTGATAATTTGCCACCAATGCAAGGATCTGATTCATATCCAAAACACATATATTTCTGTGGAAAACTGTAAATGGCTACCAATTCTTTGCAGCTTTTCCCATCAAGAGGTGGAATCTATTTCGCACCCCTTGTATCTGGGCTGGCATTGTGTCTTGTTTTGATCACAGAAATACAACAGGAGTGACATTGAAAGAGCTCCAATTCTAAGCCTCAAAAAGCCTCAATACTTTGGCTCCTGCTGTGCTTAGAATACTGAGTGCACCATGTGACTGAGCTGGAGTTAGGCTGCTGAAGGATGACAGATCATGTGGAGGAGAACTAAGGCACTCATCTGATGCTCTATTACCAGGCCAATAGCTTGAAAACTGCCAGATATAGGAATAAGGTGGTTCTAGATTATCTGGCTACCAGCCCATCTGCCAGCGGATTCTACAATCGTAGAATCACTGTCACTGTATTTAGTTCTCGCAACAATCCTATGCATAAGAGAATGCAGGAGTTACCCGCCAAACTGACCCAAACCAGGACACAATCCAATTGACACAGAGAATAATGAACTAAGTAACATGGTTGTTTTAGGCACCTAAGCCTTGCAAAGCTACTGCAGATGGCTATTTTAGCAGACTGAGACATCAGTATTTGGTTTAACATTCCTTCTAGGACTGTTTTTTCATGTGAAAGCATCTTATATGATGCCCTTTATATATTCTGGTAAATAGCCTCCTTAGATGTGAACCAGGTATCTTATGCTGAATCACAGTAAAGTCCAACCATCCCAGAAGGAACAGCAGCCAGGTTTTTTTTTTTTTTAAAAGGCTGATGAAGGGAATTAATCCTTACCAAGCACCAAGAATGTGCAAATGACTTTTCAATGCATTCATAACTATCGAATTCATATTATGGATCTCATTGAGTTGATTATATATTGCACATACTAATTTGTATGCAGAAAAATAGAACATGACAATTCTGAGTATCTTCAAATGTTCTAATTTACTCCCATCTTCTCCATTAAATATTTATCATCTTTCTAACTCATTTGTTCTTAATCTGACAGCAATTCTAGTCTGCAGACCCAATTGGCCCCAAATGAGTTTCTCATTTCGTGTGTCCCCATGTCCACTACAGATCTTATTTACGCTATTTTATTATCTATTGTATTTATTTACTATTGAGCTTACAGTAGGCATTCCATAAACTTACCTCGACATTGCTGATTTAAGAGTAATTTTCACTAGAATGAAGGTCCTGTTACTTCTGGATTATGGCAGAGGAACAAGAAGTATTTAGACTACCAGATCATAGCACAGTCAGGGTTCTGAAGTGTGCTGTTTTCAATCTTCCTTGGGTTTAATGTTGAGATGTGGCCTCATGGCAATATGGTTTGTGTGACAGATCGCTATGTTTACTGATATCCTATAATGCCTAATTTCAGAAGCTTCCTTTGTGGATTTTATAGGAGGATTTTGAGAATAGTGGAGGAAGTTACTGGAAAATGAAAGTAGATGCTCATGGAGGAGGAAAAACTTCTAGAATTTAAAAAAAAAAAAAAAAACTTACTTTTTTTTTTTTTTTTTTTAACATAGAGTCTTGCTCTGTCACCCAGGCTGGAGTGCAGTGGTGCAATCTTGGCTTACTGCAACCTCTGCCTCCCAGGTTCATGCGACTTTCCTGCCTCAGCCTCCTGAGTAGCTGGAATTACAGGCGTCTGCCACTAGGCTCGGCTAATTTTTGTATTGTTAGTAGAGACGGGGTTTCCCCATGTTGGCCAAGCTGGTCTGGTACTCCTGACCTCAGGTGATCTACCCCTCTCAGCCTCTCAAAGTGCTGGGATTATCAGTGTGTGCCATCACGCCCAGACAGATAAAACTTACATTTTTTAATCACTTAAAATGTGCTAAATTCTGTACTAAGTACATTATTTCACTAAATGTAAAATATCTTTATGATGGCATAATTTCTGTCACCACTATTTTATGGAAATGGAAACTAACACCCAGAGTTTAAGAAACTCACCTAGGGTCTTGCAACAAAGTATTGGAAACAAGATCTAAACTACTTAGTTTATTCTATACTCCAGTTCTAAATCCACACTCTCAACTCAGTACCCATGCAGCCCTGTTTTTCACTACCTACACCTTTCCTACTGCCCACTTCCTTCTGCCTCCTTTCTCCTGGCTTTTGTGCTTCAATCCTACTCAAGTTTCAGTGCCTTTTGTAATTTCTGTCCTCTCACTCCAGTCCAAGGCTCTGAAACAGGTTCTGTATTACCAGAGCAACCTTAACATACTCCTCAGGGAGGACTTAAGAGCTCCTTCAGGTTGGCACTCACTGAATTTACCCTCATATTACCCAACTCTCTCATTATTTCCTGGAAGGTGCTTCTCTCTTACTAGATTTAGTGCCACTGGAAGACAGAAACTATAGTTGATTTATCTCTGTATCGCTAGCTTCTGGAGAAATCTCCAGTTTCTCAAGGCCCAGGGCCCAGCTCATAATAAACATGCTTTGGATGACTGACCGACCGAATGAATGGATGGATGCTAATCACTACCCACAAAAAATACTTAGAAGCATCTATTCACAGGTCACCATGTTAGCCATAAAAATTCAATTAGAAAGGTATGTTCTTAGCTTTTAGTTACATAGGGATTTTTACCTGAGATCTGTTGTATTAAAAATATGAAATCAATATGTAGGTAAACAGAGGTTTTTTTATACATTTTGAAGCCATCAATTTTTTTTTTTTTTGAGATAGTGTCTCACTATGTGCCCAGGCTTCAGTGAAGTGGAGTGAACATGGCTCACTGCAGCCTCCATCTCCCAGGCTCAAGTAATCCTTCCACCTCAGCCCCTCCAAGTAGCTGGGACTACATGAGCGTGCCTCTATGCCTGGCCCTCCCTGAGTGCTGGGATTACAGGCGTGAGCCACTGTGCTTGGCTACCATCAACTTTTTAAAAAATTTGACATCATAGAAATAACAAATACAGAATGAAATTAAAATGAATATTTTCAACCTTGTTTAAGCGGATTCCTGATCTATGAAGGCTGTCAAAGTTGAATAATAATCAAGGAAACAGTGTTTGAATACTAGAGGAAGAATCGACTAGAATTTGGGGTGACAAAATTGTGTTTTATAATTTTTCAACTACAAATTCATAATTTACTGCCTTTGGTCACCTTGGCTGTTACACTAATGATATTAAACCAGCTTGCACAATTGAGCCTGCCATGTCTACGGTACAGTACTATAGTGATGGAACTTTTCCACATTTTCAAGGAACTTATTCAGCCCTTCTATTTTATAGACTTTTATAAAAGTCGTTTACATATAACTTAATTTTAAATAAATTTATAGTTTGATTTTGTATGTGATCAGAATAGATGTCACATCTATTTGACACTCAGAGTTACTGAAAAAGCCAAGATTAGAACAAGTGCCCCTGAATCGGAATCATGTAGTTTTTCTTTGTTAGGACAACAGGGCTGTTTCTAAGCCCATGTCTTGTATAGTGATGATAAGTGAAACAAATGAAACTCTTGTTAGTGGAATTGTTGCTAATACACAACTGTAGGGTTCATTTCTCTGCCTTAGCACCCGACTCCCATTGTAGAAGCACGAGGTATAGTGCGCCAGAGCAGAGCACAGTTAAGTGTCTGAAGTTTCTGGATTTGCCCCAGCCTGGGTCCCAAAATCCATACTGAGTATTATTAATCCCCAGTGCTCTGCGGTTTTAATGGGATCACTCACTGGTTGTAGAATTCCCCTCCAACCTGTGTCCCTTCAGCGATGACAGGTCCACCCATCCTTTCTGTTTATGGGGGAGTTACTTATCTCTTCAAACAAAGATGCCTCCTCCTCTCCTCCGGCACTACCAAGACTGAGCTCCTGTGGTTCACACCCTGATCTCTGATCTCTGCTTCCAGGATTGAGTGTGTATGCGGGTCGGTCTGTCCCGTGTGTGATGGCTACTCAAACAAGGGGTCGTCAGTCCACATCCAGGGTTCGAGGACTCACCTCTCCCCACTTCCACTCCCGCACCCACAGTGGCCCCACGACCCGCCTCTCCTCTCCCCTAAGAACCACAGAACTTTACCTGCGCATCAAGCCCCCCGCGGACCCGCTGATAGGAGCCGCCCCAGTTCGGCTGACTGCAGAGCATGGTCCGCAGGCGTCTGGCCGCTGGCTGCGAGCCGGCTGCGGCTGTCACTTCCCCTGGCAACGGACTGTCAGCTCAGCGCCGGCACGGTGGGAGGACACGCACTCCGCCCGGCAGAGTCAGCTGTCACCTTAGTCCCGGCCTGTCAGTCCCAGCCAGTGCGCCTGGGGCGGGGTGCGGGTGGAATGGGGTTGGGCAGACGAGGGAAGGTGCGGAGGGAGCCGGGCAAGGACAGTTCTATACAGTGGGCTGCTCTATGCCTGGCGGGGAGTTTGCACTTGACTCAGTAGTTCTCTCCTTTCCATTTCCTATTAGAAACCTAATGTAAATGGCGAGTTAATGGGTGCAGCACACCAACACGGCACATGTATACATATGTAACAAACCTGCACGTTGTGTACATGTACCCTAGAACATAAAGTATAATAAAAAAGAAAAAGAAACAAAAAACAAACCTGTGTCCCTTTTATGACCGAAGCACAAAGCTAGTTTCTTGCTGGGGTGATATTACGTTTGCAAACAATGTTACAGCTGTCTCTTAAAAAATGTTAAGAAGTATCAGTAGAATTTTAAGGAGCAAATTTATTGCAATGGCCTTAACTTTACAAACCAATGAAACACTCCCCGTAGTATTAGAAAACCTTAACAGTATACTGCATGTCATCTACATTTTACTCTTCAAAGTAACTACAAAGGAAGAAAAATTTCACAGTGACTAGGATGAACAAAGAATTAAAGGTGACACATGATGTACAAAGGGGAACAAAAAAAGTTAAAGAATTGCATTCTGATTGTTAGTAAATACTAAGAAACTGTGAGCCTGTATACAGAAGTAAGGAGTATGCAACAAGTTACTTTGAGGCACATACTTGACACATGATGTATGTCGTTGGTTTGATGAAGCATTTTGTTTTATTTGGCACCTGAAGCAACAAAAGAGGGAGAAATATTAGAAATTCCTAAATGTAAGGATAAAGATAAGGCCATGTAGTATTTTACAAGGATGGATATTATACTTCAGGACAAGGAACTTTCCGTCTACTGCCTGGGATTTATTTAACTGGTAGATGAAGAGAATGGAGGATTTAGGACAGAAGTCCTGCTTTCTGGAGGAAGGGGCATGAGTCCTACCTGGGGAAGTCTAGGCTGGCCATAGAATGGGTGAAACTGAGGAACCAGACAATTTCCACAGACGAATTCTACCAGATGATACCTTATGGAACTGAAGTCCTGGGGAATGTTTGGAACACAATTCATTTCTCTTCCTCTCTTCATACCATGCTTGCTTGGCCCTACGCAAGGAGGTAGTTGTAGGTTAACTTTAAAATCAGCATGTCTCTGAAGAATTAAGGGTGCAGCTCAGGACTTAGAAACTTTGTCTCCTTTCCACAAATACGTGCACCAATTTGGGAACACCTCGCCCTCACTCAGCAGCCACAGCCTGAAGAACCCTCCTCCTATCTGCACTTTCAAACTGCTCACTCCGTAGATTCTCCACGGAAAATACAAGGTCTTCTAGTAGAATGGGCCTTGCTTTTTCAGATATAGTTATGAGGAAAGAAACAACTTTGAACCTGTGCCAGGGAGGAGGAAGCCAGGAAGAAAATGAAGCCTAAAACCAACTCAGGCACCAAACCCAGCATTTGTCTTTGACCTCTAGGAATCAGTCCCCTCAGGTAATGTGGGTGCTAGCAACTGGAAGTAGTAAGATTTCTACATTTACTCAGCTCGGTAGAGATACCTGGCTCCTTGATTGGTGGGAGAAGGGAAGAATGCCCCCCAAAATTGTGTAGAAGTTGGGGAGGGTAATAGATGTGTGTGGCTACTATAGTAAAGAAGTCCCTACCTAAGGAGATTGGGGAAAAAAATATCTGGGAGTCCCTCAAAATGTAATAAAAATTACATTTTAGTGTCAAGTTTCTCCGTTTTATAGAAGGTACAAGATAAGGCTGTGCAAATGAGCAGGAAGACATGAAGGTTTGTAAGAAAAAACTGAGTTTTCAATGCCTAGTTAAGGAAAACTGGGTGAAATACTCAGATTTCCCTAGGAAATAGAGAAGTACAAAATACGAGGATCGGACATTCACGAAACCTTACAACAAAGCTAGAATTCTGACTCGCTGATGTATCATGCTAGCTGGACTATGAAAGAAATACTTTTGTTTTCCAGGAAAAAGAAAGTCATGAGAAGGTGTAATAAAAGGATATCTAGATTTAGTCATGGGTGGGGCATATTCTATGCCACAACAGTCAATGTTTTGGCTTGTTGGAAAGATTCATTCTGTTGATGCTGTACAAGTTTTGCAGGTATGGCATGTCATCCTTTCTGGCTGGTGGAGGAGAGCCTCATAAACAGAATCAGACTGTGAGGCTGATGAGTAAGGTTGAAACAAAGAGCTGACTGTTTTCCACAGTTAGTTGGGCATATCCCTGTCACTATGGCAGAGACAGGAGAATCTCTTTCTTCAAGACAATTGTAGGCTATGTTTTTATGAGGGGTGGGAAATTTGGGTAGACGTAATTTTCCTTATTCTTGCTAACTTTGATATAAAAATTAAATTAACAATATTATTCCGTTCACTGCATACTATCAGTATCATTTTGTGAAGTGACTTTCTATTTTATTTATATTTTTCATCTACTTATTTTCTAGTCCATTTATTTTCCCCACCAGAAGTCGTCTGGAAGCAACTAGTAAATATCTTTCTAATTCACCTTCTACACATTTATTGAGATACTTGTTTATCCTTGAAAATGTATGGTGCTGTTTTATGTGTCTTCAACATTTATACAAGTGGTATTTTGCTATAAAGTCACAGCGATACAATTCTCTCCTGTCATGTAGCTTTGAAATGACTCCAAACATGTACTCTGCTGTGTGAGCGATGTATGTTTTGCCGTGATAAGAACTTGAAGTGTATTTCCTCAGCCTCTCAAAAATGTGACGTCTTATCCTACTCCATATGTGAGAACTTGGAGTGATCTTCCCCTGCCCTCAGGAATGTGACACCACACCTTAGCCTTATCATATGCCATATGTGAGTTACTGATTTCAACTACTGGACTTCAATAAAAGAAAAAAAAAATATATATATATATATATATATATATACACACACACACACACACACACAATCTGAAAGCTTAAGACTGTGTAGTCTACACTCTGTGAGCCACCTCCCTACACATGCTGACTCAGGGCTACACTGTCAGCTGCTTCTCGGAAGACTGAGCCCTCAGTTTTGACAGAGCCACACCTGCCAGCCTTTGAGCTAATCTCTGAACCCAGCACCAGTCACCTTGCCTGTAATCTAAGATCCCTGCTTTGTCACTCATGACAGTCTCACCTGAGAACCACTTACATAAATATATACCTCAAACTTTAACTGGACTTTGCTTTCTACAGAGGCCTGTTTCCATCCTAATTGAGCAATTCGATTTCAGTCATTTTGGAACTCACTCACCATGTGGTCCATGTACCTCATCTATCAAGCATATTCCCCGTGAGATTTGTTCTTCCTATTCTCTGTCTCTTTAAGCATTATGAACCTAAGGAAAAAAAAAAAAAATTCTTCCTCTATGGTGTCTTGGTCCATTTTTTGCTACTGTAACAGAAGACCACAAACTGGGTAATTTATAAACAGGGAATCTTTGCCTCCCAGTTCTGGAGGCTGTGAAGGCTAACATGAAGGCACTCTTGGTTTGGTGATTCTGATTTTAAGATGGTACCTCGAACACTGCATCCTCAGGAGGGGAGGAGCACCATGTTTTCACATGGTGGAAGGTAGGAGGAAAAAAGATAAACTGGCGTGTAACTTGCCCTTTTATAATGGCATTAATTCCACCCAACCCTCACGGCCTAATCACTTTTAAAGATCTCACTTCTTGGCTGGATGTAGTGGCTCATGCCTGTAATCCCAGCATTTCGGGAGGCCAAGGTAGGTGGATCGCAAGATCAGGAGTTCAAGAACAGCCTGGCCAATATGCTGAAACCCCATCTCTACTAAAAATACAAAAATTAGCCAGGCATGGTGACAGGCTCCTGTAGTCCCCGCTACTCAGGAGGCTGAGGCAGAAGAATTGCTTGAACCTGGGAGACGGAGGTTGCAGTGAGCTGAGATTGAGCCACTGCACTCCAGCCAGGATGACAGAGCAAGCCTCCATTAAAAAAAAAAAAAAAAAAAAGAAATCCTACTTCTTAATACTGTTAAAGTGGCAATTAGATTTCAATATGAATTTTGGAGGGGACAGACATTCAAACCACATTATATAGCAATAAACTGCGATTTGTGACATACTTTGATCATCTCTTTATTTCTACCATACAAACCGCCCCCCTCTTCCCACATTTTTAAAAATGACATTATTTGCAAGGCATCTACCCATGCGAGGCTATGCAGTCCTCACCTATTGTTTCTCACTACTGCATGCTGCTTTGCTCCATTCAAATACCACATTCTAGAGGAACTCCCATAGCAGAGTGATTAAGCTCGTAGACTTTAATGTAAGACTGTGGGCTTAAATTGTGGTCTCCACTATTTACCAGCAAGTCATGAACATCTCGGGGCTCACTTTCTCATCTATAAAATGGAAGTAATAGTCATGTCGTCCTCATAAGTTTGTTGTAACGATTACATGATTTAATCATATAATAAGCAAAACATTTAGAACAAAGGGACATGGTAAATCCTGCATAAAATATTATGATTATTATCTAGTCACACGGTCATCAATATGTAGGCTAACTCTGTGGTCAGTGCTGTAATAAACACCTCTGTCTGAGGATTGGCATGTGCATTTCTTGTTTTTCTTTTTCTTTTTTTTTTTCTGTGTTTTGTTTTTGAGATGGAGTCTTGCTCTGTTGCCCATGCTGGAGTGCAGTGGTGCAATCTCAGCTCACTGCAACCTCCGCCTCCTGGGTTCAAGCGACTCTGCTGCCTCAGCCTCCCTAGTAGCTGAGAGTATAGGCGTGCACCACCACACCTAGCTAATTTTTGGTATTTTAGTAGAGACAGGGTTTTACCACATTGGACAGGATTGTCTGGATCTCCTGACATCGTGACCCGCCCACCTCAGCCTCCCAAAGTGCTGGGATTACAGGTGTGAGCCACCGTGCCCGGCCGTGCCTGGCCGTGCATTTCTTTTAGATCATGGT